CTTTTGGGATCATGGCCTCTAAAAATCTTGCAGCATTTTCTTCTTCCCAGGAGCCCCCGCATATAAAACTGCTACCAGATAGTCAGCTCCCTGACGACAGGGACACATTTGTTTCCATCCCTGTTATGTCCCCTGTGACCACAGCAGGGCCTGGTATCTAGTTGGTGCCAGGCAAAAATTTGTTGAATGAATGAATTCATTCCCTGATTCCCTGTAGGTGCGGCATGCATACCATCTTGTCGTTTCTTGACACCCTGTGTGTGTCTGTGTCTACAGAGGTGGACAGGGAATGGCACGCTAGGAGGAGAGGTTACCTCGGCTTTGCATCCAGCAGGTCCCCTCAAGGCCCTGGACTGTGAGGAGAAATGGGGGTTGGAAGTGGGGTCTACACCCTGTTCCTGCAGGGAGAAAGGGGAGCATCGGGACAGGAGTGTGCCCAGTCCCCTGGGGCGTGTGGGGTTTGCCAAAGACAGACCTTGGCCTGGATTGAGGGAGAGAGAGGCGGCCGGCACAGAGCAGTCATTCAGACAGCAGTTGACCTCCTGGCAGCTCCAGTGAGGCCCTGTGGACCTCGGTCCTCCCCAGCCGGCCCACTGAGGCCTCAGAGAGAGGCCCATCCATCACGGGGGCCCCCAGGGAGGGCCGGGGGGGCTTTCTGTGAGTCAGTTAAGGGGCTCCGTTTTCAGCACAGATCTTGTCAAATTCAAGCTGTCAACCGCACAGACCCTGAAAGCCAGTCACAGACCCCTGGGGACAGGCGTGTGGCACACGACCTTGAGGGGGCTCTGCTGAGTGTGGGACTGTGGTGATAAGAGGGACAAATGAGAGGAAGCCACCTGGGCCAATTGCTTTGTGCTCACCCACACCGCCCCTTTGTGCTTGTCCTTGAGGGACGTTGGGGCAGCTGCACTGAATATATTTCCTCCTTTCCCTCCTTGGTTGCCGCTCTCCCTTTCCGCCATCTCTTACAAGGCACAGGGAAGGAGGCAGTGCACGCAGATTAAGGACAGACTGGCTCTGCCGCTTAGAAGCTGTGTGACCTTGGGCAAGTGACTTAACCTCTCTGAATCTTTTCCCTCAGGTTGTGATGAAGATTGCAAGAGGTGATACACTGCTAAGCACAGGCCGGCATGTTGTAACTGCTCCAGGATTATTCACTATTATCATTTTCATGGAGGTGAGGCACAAAGAGTTTTGACTCCTTGCTGGTGTTCCTCATCTCCTTAGCATTTCAAGCTGCACACTTCAACTCTACGTGACCTCACAACATCCCAGTGTCCACTTAAAGGTGAATAAATGAGCCAGGCATGGTGGCTCACGCCTGTAATCCCAGCACTTTGGGAGGCCAAGGTGGGTGAATCACTCGAGGTCAGGAGTTCGAGACCAGCCTGGCCAACATGGCGAAACCCCATCTCCACTAAAAATACAAAAATTAGCTGGGTGTGGCAGTACATGCCTGTAGTCCCAGCTACTCAGGAGGCTGAGGCAGGAGAATCACTTGAACCTGGAAGGCGGAGGTTGCAGTGAGTCGGAATTGGCCACTGCACTCCAGCCTGGGTGACAGAGTGAGACCATCGGCTCTGGGGCAGTGGTTAACTCAGCTGGGGCTGTGGGGAGCTTACATCTGGTCTTTGGGTGAAGGTTGAAATCATGTTAGCTAAAAGGAGCCACTGGGGCAGGCCTGAGACATGAAGGCCGAAAGCAGATGGGAGCTCTGAGGAATGAGAATGCCAGGGAGGCCAGGGAAGCAGCAGCAAGACTGACAAAATGGGGAGCTGCCCAGGACCACTGCTGGGCGTGCCCTGATGTCTGTGAGGAGACTGTTTTGGACCTCCTGTGGGGGCCGGTTTAAAGGGCCCAAAATGTTTTAGAAGGCTCCTCTGAGGAAAGCCAGTGTTCTCTCACCTTGCACCTGTGTTGAGTCCTGGCTGCTGGGACTGGCCCCAAGCCTCCTCCTCCTCCTCCTCAGGAGGAAACATTGCTGGTTGGAGAAGAGACCCAGGCAGAAACAGTAGGAACCTACTGCCCCCCACCCCCAGCCGGGCCCCTGGCTGCCTCCTCACCTGCACTGATGGAGCACCTACTGGGTTAGGGGCTTACAAAAGTTGCGGGACAGGGCTATTGGCTTGGCTTCTCCTCTTTATGGGAGGATCCTTAGCCCGGGCCAAGGCAAGGGGCTCACACAGCCTCTCAGGAGGACTGTGTCCAAAGGACAAAACCAAACTCCTCCCCCGAGATCAGGCAGGGCCAGGCTGTGAGCCAGAGGAGCTTTGAACTGTGGCAATGGCCACTGCCACCCAGAAGCAGCGCTGGTGGAGGGAGGGGGGACGGGGAGGCCGAGGGAGGCCGGTGGTGGTCGGGCAGGCAGTGGGCAGACAGGGGTTATTGAAGGGCATGGCCTGCCTCCACGATTACTCAAAGGCAAGCTGCAGTTCTTACTGGCCCTTTAAGAACAGCGCCTACCTTATGAAACGTCAGGGCAGAGTGGAAGCCCAGAGAGTGTTACCAGAAAAGAGTCACGCCATCTCTGGTCCGTGCCTGTGAGTGACTGGGAGCTTGTTTGTGTGGGGGCTGTTCCCACAGCTGGAAGCCCTAAGTAACCCCAGCCCGCCGCAACTCACAGATGATGCTAAAGAGCCCCGGCTGCCTCGGCCTCGGACGCCATGTTCTCCTTCCCTCTTCCTGGGTGTCAAAGGGCTTACACTAGACGCATGTTTCCCCAAATGCGCTTTTGGGTACCACCGGCAAAACACAAACCAAATTTAGGTAGTGGATGGACAGGCTATGTTATATATTTATTTTAATGCTTATTAGAAAAAAATTTAATTGGCACATCAAACTTCTTATTTCATGGTTATTGGTACATGGGATAAGACTAAGTTTAGTTAGGTAAAAAAGAGAAGTCAAATTTAAAGAAAAAACAATCAGGTAAATATTAGTATGGTTAACACTGTTCACTAGAAATACAATGGGAGACAAAATGAGAGCCACATACATGATTTAAAATTTTCTGTGGAATTTTAAATCATGGAATAAAAGTCACATGGAATAAAAAATAAGTAGGTAAAGTTATTTTCATAGCATATGTTTTATTTAACTTGGTATGTCAAAAATACCATTTCTACGTGTAATCACTAGAAAAATTATTAAGAGAGATTTTATTGACGGAATTTTTTTTTTTTTTGAGAGGCAGAGTCTCACTCTATTGCCCAGGTTGTGTGGTGGTGCGATCTCGGCCCAATGCAACCTCTGCCTCCTGGGTTCAAGCGGTTCTCCTGCCTCAGCCTCCTGAATAGCTGGGATCACAGGCACGTGCCACCATGCTCGGCTAATTTTTGTATTTGTAGTAGAGATGGGGGTCTCACCGTGTTGGCCGGGCTGGTCTTGAACTCCTGAACTGCCTGCTTTGGCCTCCCAAAGTGCTAAGATTACAGGGTGAGCCACTGCCTCTGGCCCTAATTGACTTTTTTTTAGTAATAACTCATCAAAAGCTGGTGTGTGTTCTATGTCACATCTCGATATGACCCAGGCATATTTTAAGGGCTCATGGCCACATGTGGCTTGTGGCCACTGAGCTGGAAGTGTGGAGACCTAGGCAGGCAGGGCAACACTGTGAAGGCAGAATATAAATGTACGCAGCCCAGAGTCTTCCAGCTCTAACATCTGTGCTTCTGCCATATGCTCACTCTCTGCCTCACCCAGAATTGCTCCCTCACTCTCCAAATTGAGACCCAGTTTACTGCCTATACTCTCTACTTTCTTCACTTACCAAGTGACACGCTTCATCGGTTGTCCACCAGAAATTTTATTATGTGGAAAGTTCGTATAGAATGTGTCTGCCAAATCTTTTGTGAGAAATAAGTCAGAGAGAAGCTCCTTTTGAAAACCAGAGAGAAATGCCCCTTGGGTCATCCCTGCTGCTGCCTTACTCATCGGCCAGTGGCAAAGTGCATGGGTGTGTTCACCAATGACAGATCACCTTTCTCTAATTCATCTGGCAGGTGCATTGAGGAGATGGGACAACTCTTCTTCAAGTCTCTTAGCATCATTTGTTATCAGTCTTTAATATTCATGAGGATCATCTGGGGAGCTTCTTAAAAATGCAAGGGTAATTATAAAATCATTGGATGGGGCATATGATTATGATTCTGGGAGTGTGATTCTGATGTGAATGAACATTTGAGAACCACTGCCTGAAATGTTTTCCTAAAGTATGAAGGCTGGCGATGGCTTGTTGGAGAACTCCAAATTGGAATTTCATATTCAAATCTAATCATTTCAGATCTAATCACTAGAAGAGGAAGCACGGACTGGTTCCACCCCATGGTCATGACTGAACTAATCGGAAACTCTCTTGAATTTGCCACAATGAACTGAGCACCAATTAAAAATTGCCTTGGAAGAAATACCTACTAAATTCTAGCCAAGCTGGGCATCAGCTCCCTGGGCCCTTAGTGACTATTATTTCCAAAAAGTGTTCTCACTCCGATCCATTTGTTCTCCCTGCCGTTTTATCCCCTGTAATATTCTCTAGAGACCAATTACTATTATCTGAATGGAAGCATGAGTCATAAGTGGGAATGAGCTTGTCCTGGATCAGGTTTCCATGTGCGTGCTCAAGTGTGTGTGTGTGTGTGTGTGTGTGTGTGTGCATGTGTGTTACATCACAAGGCAAATCGCTGGCACCTAGAATCATTGAGAAACCCATCCTCCCATTACAGTCTCAGAATGAAGCCCTTGGGACATAAGGATTCAAGATGGTTGGGTAAAGTGAACTCAACTCATGTTAAGGAGGAGAACAGGAGGAGGATTCTGAGACCCAAAGACAAGACCGGGACGCGAGAGAAAACAATGGGAACCTTAAAGTAAAGGGGGAGAGAATTTAGATTTATTAAAGACATACTCTGGACCAGGCATTTAAAATTTGTTACTTTTTAAAGCCCTGTAGACTAGATATGTTTTGTCCCATTTAACAGACTAAGATATTGAGGCCCAGAGTGGTCACTTGTTCGATATCAGCCAGAGGGAGGTAGGAGAGCTGGGGAAGGCTGATCCCAAAGCTGGTGTTTTTCTCTCAATGCCAAATACTCTCTCAAGATAGTGATTACTCAACCTATTTCTGGGTTCACCACTCCTTTTGCGAAAAAAGAATGCAAGATGAAGTGCGCTGTGTCTTTGCTGAAGGCAGATCAGGTCACCATGTCCCTGGAGGAAACGGATGCATCCCTGCCAGCATCAGTTCCCATGGTGCACTTGAGAATGTGGTGCTCTAGTCGGGATCTTCAGCGTCATTAACCTGGTTTATGTACATTGTATCAGCCAGGGAACCACTGGAGGTAGACGACACACTGAAAGGGATAATAATGGAGGAGAGGTTTAATGAAAAGACAATCTACAGAGGTGTGGGGAGGGTTTGGGAATCAAAAAGGAAGGAGAAACCTGCAAGAGAAGCTGTTATCACCCCAGATCTGAAGGGGCAAGTAGAAGGAGTGCTTTCTCAAAACTCAGGGAGAAGTGTAGCCCTGGGAGAGGGGCCACTCTCTAGGAGTGGAGCTGTGGCTGTGGGCACAGTGGAGCTGTAGCTGGGGAGCTGTGGGCACGGGGAGAGGCAGGCAGCCACTGCCAACACAGCCAGGGGAGCAGAGGAGTCAGTACCCCACCTCCTCCTTTCACCCTCTGATCTCGTGCCTCAGCAAGTGGGGAACAACCAGCACACACCCAAACCTGTGGAACAGTGCTTGTACTTGGTAAGGACTAAGTGGTGTCCATTGTTCCCATCAATGGTAACTAACTGCCTGGTGCCTATCCAAGGCCATTTCTCCAGAAAATGAACAGAGAGCCCTCTCCTCTCTGCTGAAAACCGGAAGCAAATTGGTCTGGAGAAATGGAATTTGCTGCTTAAGCCTAGTGTGGGTCCTCACCCACCTAATTGAATATGACATTATTCAAGTTATAAGGGAAACTCTTGTTTGATTTACTCCTTTTGTTTGTTTGTTTGTTTTGTTTTTGAGACAGAGTCTCGCGCTGTCACTTGGGCTGGAATGCAATGGTGCGATCTCGGCTCACTGCAACCTCTGCCTCCTGGGTTCAAACAATTCTCCCTGCCTCAGCATCCGGAGTAGCTGGGATGACAGGTGCCCACCACCATGCCCAGCTAATTTTTGTATTTTTTAGTAGAGATGGGGTTTCACCATGTTGGCCAGGCTGGTCTTGAACTCCTGACCTCAGGTTATCCACCCACCTTGGCTTCCCAAAGAGCTGGGATTACAGGCATGCCCGGCCTGATTGACTCTTGAATTAAATGACTCTGAATTAGACTATGTTTCTCCTAAGAAATGTGGAGACTGACCGTGGATCAGGAGATTTATGAGCTATTTGATCAAGAGATCAAGAGAGGATTTGTGCCGTTTGCTGTGTGTGCCTTGTGACCAAGGGATGCAGCTGATTCAAATGGGAAGCACAGTGGGATGGGAAATGAGCCACCATGCTAGTCACTGGGCACCCCCAGCGCCTTCCAGCTCCTGATCTATCCTTTCTCTTCCCCACCCTGCTCTGCGGCCAGTGGGGCCTGACACCTAAGCACTGCATCACTCAGCCATCCTTGCCAGCTGGCTTCCAGTTGGGTTTAACAAATGGGGAACTCAGCAGGAGATCTGAGGGTGGGAGGGAAGATACATTGGCATATTTCTCTGCCCCGGGTCTCTGATATTAGCTGCGCCCCTCCGTTACCTCAATTCCCACTGGCAGCCATCCTTCAGGACTCCAGCTTCAACTGGGCTCCAGTAACACTATTTCCTTCCGGTGTCCCTTCAGCCTTGGTGTGGCTGTTGCTTCTCATTGGTGGTTGGTCCCTGGGTGCCTCACCTTTCTTTTTCTGTTCCCTCAACCTGGCCCACAACTCTATGAGGGGTCCATTCATTAAAGGCTCTTCATTTGAACCATCTGTGATGCTTTGTGAGCTGCACCCTTCTGACCCTGACCTACTTGTAGCCTCTTCTAATCAACCATAGCAGATGCTCAACTGAGAATCTTGAATGAAATGGCTCTGTAGCATTTGGATATCCCAGAGGACATGACTGATGTTCTTATATAAACATGATGTTATTGTGTGTGTTGGGGGGTGGGGTGGGCAAATGTATGAATAAACTGGCTCTAAAACTTATTTTAAAGATAAAGTATTCAATGATAGATTCCAATGCCAAGAGGAATTAGAAATGACCAATACTGTCATGCATGACCTTGTTATTCAAGAGTCATCAGAAAGGTAGTATATCTTTGTCACATTTTATCTTAAAATGGTCAGAATAGTGAGAATTGACCCTCACACAGCTTGGGTTTGCAGAATAGTTCTAGACACTTGTTTATGTTTCTAGAGTTTTATTAAATACGGTCTATTCTGAACTGAGAGATTCATCCTATTTTATACTCGCATGGTATCAAATCAGGGAAAGGAGATCTCAGGGTCTTGGTTTCTTAGCCCCTTTATGCTTGTCTCTCTAGACACTTCCTTGACTATTGTCCTTAGAAAAGGGAGCCAAAGGGAAAGTTGACTTTGAAACTGTGGACCCATTGAGGTTAGAGTGGTTTCCTGTCCCCATTAAGAAGACCATATCTGTCACACGCGTTGATAGATGCCTCTGCTTCTCAGAGTTTTGCCTGGTAAAAGGACATAGAGATATATGGGATTCCCACATCCTCTGGGGTCCCCCAAGGAAATAAGTTATTTCCAGAAAGCTCCAATATCTTTAATATGGGAGGCATATTTTAGCACACATGCCTTGAAGTCAGTCGGTCAATTTAGCGTTGTTTAACTTCCCTGAGAAGCAGTGCTATGGGAAGGACTTAAATGTTTCCAAAACATGTTTTGAAAAGAAGCCACCAGAAGGAGAAACAGTTTGCCAAAAATATATCATTTACCCACTGCAGTGCTTTGGTTGTTGTTAGATCTTAAGAAATGAAAACCCCAAACTCTCAGACCAAAGTGTGCCCCATATTTGCTGGTCTGTTGACCTGAGGGGCTTTGTTTGGCAGAACCTATGAAGAGTTACTTAGGGCACTCGGGTTCCACAGTGGAGAGTGATGGCGCGCCGGGGAATGACAGTGGCAGGCTGGGCTTCTGGGACCTTGGCACTTGTTATTCTCCCTTCCTTTCTGCTCAGCTGCCCCAACCTCAATCTTGATCTCTCCAGCTGCCAGCTGCAAACAACTGCCTTTGTTATTTAGGAAATAACTTGGACCATTTCCCGTTGACTCCAGTGTGTTTTGCTCTTGTCTACCTCTGCGATTTCAGGGTTCTGGCTCTATCCAAGCTGCTGTAATCCCTGGTCTTGGTCACTTCTCTTTGGCAACTCCTTGGTCTGTGCTTTTGGAAGTCAACCTTCTGTTCTGACTTTAATCTGTGCTTGACCCCCAAGGTGCAAAATCCTTGCTCCAGCCCTGGGTCTCTGGAACCTCACTATCTGGGCTCATTCCCACCCCCATGCATCCTTCTGCCTCCACTGAGTGTATGTGTGTGGGCTGGGGAGGGATTAGACTCTTTTTTTGGCTCAAAACTATAACTGCTTCCCCATGATAAGGGAAATGCAAATTGAAACAATGAAATGCCATTCACATCTACCGGATTAGTAAAAATTAATTAAGTGTGATGACAAAAGGGATGGTGAGATGTGGCCATAAGGGAACTCCCTGGTGGGAGTGTAAATTGGTACAGTCACTTTGGAGAACAATTTGGCAATATCTATTGAAGTCAAAGATGCATTTCTGCTATGAAATAGCAATTCTGCTCCTGAATAAACAGCCTGGAGAAACCGTCATACAAGTATACAGATTTGTGTTTGTATGTATACATATAGATACACATATATACACACATGTATATGTGTGCACACAACATATGTACACACATGAAAGAGTGCTGACTACATAGCCCACAAGCTGTGGTTTATGGAATGTGGTAATGGAATTGAATACTACACTATGTAGCAGTTAATAGAAATGTACTAGATCCAATTTCTATCAACATGTATAAACTTTAAAACAATGCTGAATGAAAAAGTTGGTTGTAAAAGGACAGGTATGTGGTACACATAAGTATATACATAGATAGATGCAATTCATCTTAAAATGTAAACAATATAATTGTATTAATACATTTATATTTATTAAAAAATAAAAACACACATGGGAATGATACAAGCCAACTTCAGGTTAGTAGTTACCTTTGGAGAAGGAGGGAAAGGATGAAGAAAGAGAGCTTCAGTTGAATCTGGACACTTTTCTTTGAAGGCGGGGATGGAGAGAAAGAGAGAGACAGAGAGAGATCAATCTAAGACCAATATGGCAAAACATGTTTCAATTTTGGTGATGGGCTTGACAGATCTAGTATATTATTTTCTCTACATGTCAGTATGATTGAAATGTTTCGTATTTACAAGTTTGAAACAGTAAGAAAATGATTTCTTACTCCTATTGTTGTCTTGGTGAATTGATGCTAACTTGAAGATTCATAGACGTGTACTTTCTGGTAGGGACAGCGTCTTTGAGAACAACTGGTCAAACTTCATCTGGTTTCAGAATCTCTTCTATGGCCCTGTGCAAATACCTGCCCTGATGTGGATCTCTAACCACTGAGACTGTCCCCAAATGGTACTCTTGGGAAGTTATTGCTTACTTTGAGCTGAAATCAGCCTCTTGCTGGCTTCAGACCACTGGTCCCAGTTCTGTTCTGCCATCCTTCAGATTCCCACCATCTTGGAGCTGCTGGGAGCCAGGGGCCCTGGGTTAATCCTTGCAAGGGAACTAGGGAAGAAAGAGGAAGTTGAGGGGCTGGAGCCAACCCTAAGGCGTTCCTCTTTGGGAAGGCTGGCTGGTGATGGGACTTGCCAGGACCAGCATGCTGAGAGGAGGAAGCCAGCTCTCAGGTCAAAATTCCGTTGATGTGGGACAAACTGTAACCCTGCGCTGTTGCTTTCCCAGGCCTCACTTCCCCAAACAGGAGCACGTGAACAGCTGCAGTGGCCTGGTGGCAGCATGCTGGGATCCTTCAGGCCAGGCCAGCAAAAGGGCGAGATCTGGGCCCGTGGGGACCTTCATGGGGACTCTCCAGGCTGCCTTCCTCTTCCAGGTCTTCTGTGAAATTAGCTGGAAAAGGAGATCACATGCCTGATTCCCCTTTGTCTCGGCAAGCGTGGAAAACAAAGTCCAGCCCTAATCAAAAGCTTCCTCTGATTCTCTTGTGTCTTGTTAAAATGCAGTCAAGTCTCAAAAAAAAAAAAAAAATGCAGTCAAACTCGAGGCCTTGCTACCAGGTAGAAAAAAAAATTATAGGAAAAAATAAGAATCCATTACTCCACATTGTAAATAAAACAATGACTCCTTTAATTTCCAGAACCATCATCTCTGTACTTTTGGTGAGCTGGGTTTTTTTTTTGTTTGTTTGTTTGTTTTTTTTTTTTTTCCCAAGCTGCTCTTCTTTTAGGAGAAAATGGGAAAAGATTTGACATCCCCTCCACCTCCCTCTCCCCACCTCAAAATCATCTACCAGGTAAAGTCTGGAGTTAGTTCAATTTTAGTCTAATCTTTCTGTCTCTCTTTTTTTTTTCTTTCAGACAGGGTCTCGCTCTGTCACACAGGCTGGAGCATAGTAGCATGACCATAGCTCTATATAACCTTGAACTCCTGGACTCAAGTAGTCCTCCCACCTCAGCCTGCTGAGTAGCTGGGGCCACAGACATGCACCACCATGCTCAGCTAATTTTAAATTTTTTTTGTAGAGACAGGGTGTCATCACATTGCTCAGGCTGGTCTCAAACTCCTGACCTCGAGAGATCCTCCTGCCTTGGCTTCCCGAAAGTGCTGAGATTACAGACATGAGCTGCTGTGCCTGGCATCTTTTATCTTAAATATTTTGGAATGAGAAGCTTCGAGATCTCAGTGTGAACTTCATGAGGTAGGGAGATGGAGTGATGTTGCGGTGACTGTAAGCTTGACTGCTTGATGGTCCTTGTCTTGCCTGTTCTCTGGTTATGGGTTCAGTTTTGTAGATCAGTGATTCTCGAACTTTGCTGCCTACAAGGTCCCCTGGGAGCTTTATACAATGGGGGAAGAGTCCCAAGTGCACCTTAAACCAATGGAGCCAGAATCTTCAGGAGTGTAACTTTGGCACCTGCACTTTTTAAAACTCCCCAGGTGATTCTAAACAAGCCAAGTTTGAGAACCAGTGCTATGCTTTGAAACATCAGGGAGGTGTGCTTAGGGCCTTGTGAAAAAGCAAACACCAAAGGTTTCATTATGTTGATATAACTTAAGAACTTAAAAAAACTCAAGGGCTTGCTATTGGCCAAACACTGTGCCAAATGTTTTCTGTGGATTGTCTAATTAAAACAACATGCTGAGGTAGGTTATTTATTTCATAGAAGAGGACACCGACCTTCAAATAAGGAACTTGCTCAAGGTGATGCAGCAGAAATGTCATTTGATGGGGCCCTCACTTCGGAGGCTGCATTTAACATTGATGATATTTACTAGGATGGAAAATTACTTCTTCTTTTTGACACACACACACACACACGTATACATACACACACACGTATATGCACACACACAACTTAGGAATGTTTGTAATAATGTATTTCTAAAAAAGATCTTGCCCACCCATTTTTTTTTTCAGTAGATTACCAGAAATGTGAATTATCAGAGCACTACAATTCTTGAGTTTCCTAATTATTAGCTTTTCACTGAGTATCATATTGAAGCAAGTACATCATCAGCATCTCCTGTTTGGATACAAAGGGCCAGTGATGAGAGCACTCACTAATTTTAAGAGACCTGGAAAGTTGATGAAATTTCTCATTTTTAAGGACAGTGTAATGATGTCATGGAAAGGATGGATGAGATCAGTTTTTCTTAGTTCTTCCACTTATGAGCTGGATAACTTTGAGCAAGTCACTTCCCCTTTCTGGGCTTCAGTTTCCTCATCTGAAAAATAAGGAAACCAAACCAAGGGTTTGTTAAAAGGCCTTTCACTCTAGATATGATCCAAAGGATAAATATTATCATGGCAGCCCTAGTATATCTGACTCTGAAGTCTCAGCAGCCTGACCCGTTGTCATTGACCCATTTATTCCTGCCCGAGTAGCATATTTGTAGGACTGACTTCCTCAAGCCTGTGGTTAGCGATGTAACAGGGAGCCAATCTCCATTACATGATGGGCAAATCACTCAAGTAGCAACAGATGGTCCAGGAATGATGGGAAAAGGCAGACTTTGTAATGAAAACTTTGTAGATGGATTTTTAATTTCATATGGATGAAAGTGGAAATTCACAAAATACATCCAAGGAAATTCAACCTTGTGGCAGGTTTTTGGATCCAGACTGGCCATGTGGGGCCTGTCATTGCTGCAGCGTGGAGGGGCGTGCAGCCGGGTGGAGCTCATGGGTGAGGTCAGCTGTCTGTCAGAGGCTGGCTCTCACCCTCACGCATCCCAAGACCTGACTCAGGAGATCTGCCTTGAGGTAAACATGATCCTAGCTGATTGACAATCCTGCTAACTTACAGTGAGGGATCTGCCTTCTTTTGGAAAGAAAGGGTTACATCTGCTGTCAGGGAAGAAGCCTCTGCCCCAGCACAGGGACGGTGGATTGGAAGTGGAAAGGTGGTCAGGTGAGCACAGGGTCGGGACAAAGGCAAGAGAACAACGCTGGAGTTCCTCAGACTGTGTTGTGGATATTGACTGTCCAGTGACTTTTCCCATTGGGCACCCCAGTTTCCTTTTAGGGATCTTTCTCTCTACCATCATGTTCAGGCTTTGGGATTGGTTGGTCTAATATATACCCTCCTCTGTTAAAGGTAGAAGGCTCCTCCTAACAGAGCTTTCCTCTGAGAGATAGGCACGTGACCTCAGCTTGATCCATCATACTCTCTCCCAGGACTTTGTGTCTGGAATGCCGGGAGTATGGTTGGAGTTTATTTATCCTGGGGAGAGCACCCAGGTGAGGCTGAGCAATAGCTTCTGTGACCAAGACCTTCAGGTCTTCATCTGTTCTGAACCTGGTTTCCAGCCCCTGTATTGATCCTCTGTGCTTTTCCATACTACTCCATTCAACAGAACATCCCCCTACCCCTTATTCCCAACTGTTTTCTTGAAATAGTCCAGAGTCAGTTGCTGAGTTTGCAGCCATAAGCCTTGGCAGATGCAGGTCTCGGTTAGACCCTCACAGAAGGTACACTCCTCTACTGCTGTGGCTTCTGTCCACCTAGTTGTCTCTCTTTCCCCTGGAAGTCATGGGTAAACACAGCCAGCCTCTGATCCTGTGTTTTCCCTTTTTCTGTGTGCTCACTCTCTTTCTGTTTCTACAGAATTTCTCCAGGCAGTCTACAAAACAGCTGATTCATTCTCCATTGGTTAAATCCAATTTCATTTCAATCCTGTCACCTTGAAAGGAATCTCAGGTGTTCCCAAAATCTTTGGGCACACACTCACAGAAACTCTTTTAGGCTATGGTTTTCTTTCATGTAAGCATAATAGCTAACTTCAGCCACTGTGAATGAATTTTGTCAACCTAAATCTTCAAGAGCAACTGCATTTCCAAGTTCTTGGAAGTCACCTCACTTCTATTCCTCATGTACCACTTAGATGTTTAAATCAATCTTGAAATGATGAATAGTCCTTTGAAAATTCTGTCTTCTATGCTTCCCAACGGTGGGTAGCCTCCTTTGCTCAAGCTTGTGTTTTTAACTCTTTATTATACTCTATCTCCAGAATGACAAAGTGCTCTAGGGAATGCGAAAACATAAGAGGCAGTTTTCTTGCCTTTAAGGGTTGTAAATCTATTGGAGAGTTGAGATTTGTTCACATAAAATAATTATAGAAAAACCTATGTCTTTGCCTTCGAGACGCTCAATGGCTCATGGCAATGGTTTTCAAATGTCCTAGTTGTGTGACACCTTCAAGGGGATATCTAGGGGGTGGGGAGGTGAGGAGGGAACCCACCTGCTGTTCTTCTGCAGAATTTCCTTGAAACAGAGCTCCAGGACTAATAAGGGTTTGAGGACCACAGGATCCAATCTTTTGCTGGTGTACAAGCTCTTTCCTGACCTTCCCATTGACTACAGATCCAGACCCATGTCCTGCTGCCTGAAGCTCCGGAGGCCTCCTGGCTATACTGGGGCCTCCACACTGCCCTGCCCTTCTCCATGCAGCTCTCTCTGCTTTGTGTGCATCACATACCAACCACACCAAACCATGACTATAAACTCCTTGAAGGCACATGTTGATTGAATTAAGGGCTGAATTTTGCAGTGCCATCTGTAAGAGTTATCAGAACTTAGAGATGAAGAAGATAATTGCTGACTGGGGTGGTCTGGAAAGACTTCCTAAAAAAAGTCAGACTGTATTAGGCCTTTGGGAAATGTGGCATTCAGATTCATAGAAAGGAAGAAGGAAAGTGTCTCAGGCATGGAAAGCATTGCTGAGCAAAGGCTCCGAGCAGGGTTTATAAGTATCCCATAGGGCGGTAAAGAGAACCAGGAAATAATTGACAAGGGAGCTTTTAAAATATACCCTTGCCTTGACCCGCTGCAGACCAAATAAAAGAATCTCTGGAATGAGCCTGGGCCTCAGCATTTTTAGAGCTTCCCTGATGAGTCTAATGTACAGTGAGGGCTGAGGACAGTCTTCGGACTGTCAAGGTGTAAGGGGTCTAAGGAAAGGCTGGCTTTGAGGAATGGAGGCTCCTGATGAAC